CTTCATTTAAAACTCATCATTATTTTATCAGGAAAAAAAATCATTATAATAAGCCTAAACTTAACCATTCCACGTACTGATGAGGCTATATTACATGAACATTCACAGATAGCAAATACAATGTCAGATAGATTTATTTTGTTTCACTTTTAGTGTATGGCACTCACATGGGGTGTACAGTTAGATAAAGCATCTTAAGTCACCCCAAGTGGGCCTGGCCCTGACGGATGTCTACAGTGGAGCCTGGCCTGCTGAGGGAGGTGGCTTCTCAGGAGCCTGATCTCCTAGGTGATCAGCCTGCCCGTGGGCGGGTCTAAGGCAGGGAAAGCACTGGCATGCTCTGTACCTTCCCACCCTGCGATTGTCCACAGCAGTACCTCCAGTCAGCACTGAGGACATTGGGCAGGCTAGAGGAAGAACACCTGGTGATAGCAAGAGACACTGCCTAGCACACACCGTTTTCTCCAGCTGTGTTTGTGCCACAAAAGTGGTTATTTTAAAATCTGCTCTGCTCTCTACCTAACTGACTCCCTTGGTTGGAATTCTCTTCTGGGTTGTTGTGTTCATTTGGTGGCATCCTATCCACTGGAAAAATTAAGTTCTTAGATTCAGGGCTGGGGTTGGTTTCTTTTCATTTTGTTTTGTTAAGAAGAAACTTCTGTTATATCTCCCACGTATGAGATACTGTCTGCTGTATTCTGTATTTTTTTAATATTTTATTTTATATTTTGACTAACTGTATGGACAATTGTCAGTAGAGCCTTTGTCAGAGGATGAATTTTTAATCCCCCTTAAAAATAAAAGAATGAACAGAGAAGAGAAAAGAATAAGATTTTCTGAATGTTTAAAAAAGAATATGTGTTTACAGTGAACATTTACATATCCACAATATAACCAGTGCCTAAGTCACTTCCTGATGGGTGATGCTGGTCTGAGCATCTGTTCTGCTTAGTGTCTGTCTCTGTTTTAAACAGCTGTAAGCTAAACGTGTCTTTATTGCATTCAATAGTCTGCTAGAGAGATCCCTTCGAATTCTCTTTAAGTTCTCCCCCTTGCCCAGTTTCAGCTATTCAGTAATTTTATCACTGTTTAACTTATCCTGCCAAAATAAACAGTCATTTGACACCAAAATACTGCCAGACCAAGTACCTGCATATCTCAAAAGTATATAGCCAGAGACAGATGATGTCACAATCTTGTAGCCTGTTTCCAGATGTAAGGAACCATTGAATTGCTATTGCAATCTCATCCCTATGAAACTCACGATGCTGTTACAGATATCAAACAGAGACAGTAACAAATATGCTCAAGTTGAGTTTAGTTTCCATCTTAATAACTATGCTACTTCTAACAACAATATTGACCCACATATTGTGGTCAATCTACAGTGTACAGTGTCATAGAGCATGCAACCTGCCACAAATCTGCCATTTCCCTGCAAATAACCACACTTTGAGGACTGCAATGTAAGGATTCGTTTAATGGCAGTCAAGAACATGATCCACCATATGAAGTAAACACCCCGTTTTCTCTTTCCAGAAGAAAAGGAAAGGAAAAGGAAGGGAGGGTGGGAGGAAAGGAGATTGTTAAGGGAGAGAAGCAGAGAGGAAAGAAGGTTACATTAAAAAGTAAAGAACAAATATTTGGTGAAACCTCCATGCAAGAGCACAGTCATGCACTTAGCTGAGCATTTCACGGGTGCAGCAGGTATTTCCAATCTTTCTTCTTTTTTATTATTAATTAATTACACTTTATTCATTTTGTATCCCCCCATAAGCCCTTCCCTCCTCCCCTCCCGATCCCACCCTCACTCTCCTTTCTGCATGCATGCCACTCCCCAAATCCACTGATAGGGGAGGTTCTCCTCTCCTTTCTGATCTTAGTCTATCAGTTCTCATCAAAAGTGGCTGCATTGTCCTCTACTGTGGCCTGGTAAGGCTGCTCCCCCCTCAGGGGGAAGTGATCAACGAGCAGGCCAATCAGATTATGTCAGAGGCAGTCCCTCTTCCCATTACTATGTAACCCACTTGGACACTGAACTGCCATGGGCTACACCTGTGCAGGGGTTCCAGGTCATCTCCACCAATAGTCCTTGGTTGGAGTATGATTTTCTGGGAAGTTCCCTGTGTTCAAATTATCTTGTTCTATGCTCTCCTTGTGGAGTTCCCGTCCCCTCCAGCTCTTACTATTTCCCACTTCTTACATAAAATTCCATTCACTCTGCCCATCAGTTGGCCATCAGGCTCAGCATCTGCTTTGACAGTCTATACTGCAGAAGCTTTCAGAGGCCCTCTGTGGCAGGTTTCAAGGTTCAGAAGAAAAAGAAAATAGGAAACAACCTTGGAACTTGCTACAGAGGGCCTCTGAAAGCCGATCTTTCTTCTTGGTTGCCAATATTCATATATATTTAGTTTAACATTGGCTGCTAATTTTATTCAAGTCATATTGCTAATACTTGAAAGTCATCATCAAAATGAGGAAGGTACAGCTGGATTTTTGAGGAAGCACTATTCCTAATTGCCTAATCGCACCAGATTGGTTTCCAGAGTGGTTGTACAAGTTTACATTCCCACCAGCAGTGGAGGAGGGTTCCCCTTTCTCCACATCCTTTCCAGCATGTGTCATCTCTTGAGTTTTTGATCTTAGTCATTCTGATGGGTGTAAGGTGAAATCTCAGGGTCATTTTGATTTGCATTTCCCAAATGACTAAGGAAATTGAACATTTCTAGGGGAGGGGACATAGTGGAAGAAGAGGAAGGGAAGGTAGGACCAGGAGGAGATGAGGGAGGAGGCTATAGCTGGGATATAAAAGAATAGATTGAAATAAATAATAATAATGATGAAGAATTTTTAAAAGATAAAGGTAGACCCAATTCCAATCTCAAGATGACCAGACCAGAGCAATGTTTGAACACTTCTAAAAGCTTGATATAAGTTGACTAGTTTAGCATGTAATTCTTAGTCCTTTTCTTACACATGCCTTATATCAGTATGTGTAAGAAATGGATCATTTATCTTCTCTGTTAAAATAATTAATGCTGTTCCCAAGCAGTTGAAATGGGTGTCTTATTGTTCTTTCCTTTTAAAAACATTATCATTAGGAATATCAATAAATTTTCTAGCACTTTCTTTTCAGATATTAAAATCTATATATTCCAAGAAGTAAAATTACATAGATCTCCATTTTGTAAGCACTTCAGTGCCTTGCATGTAAAAAAACAAAAAAACTAGTCATATTGACAGCTTTTTCGTATTCCCAAGTGTACATTTACTTTGATTTTCCTATCGAGATCAAATTAACGACTGGTTTCATACCTTTCTCCACTCTCTTAGAATTTCAGCTTTCTCTTCTAAGAGTAGAGTCTTGGGGCAACAGAAACAGCTCAGTGGGTAAAGTGTTTGCTGTGAGAGCATGAAGACCTGAGTGTAGGCCCCCAGCAACCACCCTGTAAAAAGCTGAGTGGGCACATGGGTCTGTGTCCTAGTTAACTTTAACTGTGAACTTGACATAGCCTAGGGTCACCTAAGATGGGAGTCTCAGCGGAGAGACTGTAAGATCAGATTGGTTCATGAGCATGTCTGAGAGGGACTATCTTACTGCTCTTTGAAATATGAAGGCAGCCTACTAGACATTAGCACGACTCCACACTCCTGGGTTCGAACAAGAAAGCTGGGGAAGCGTAAGCCTGTGGTGAACCAGCAAGCAGCTGTCCTCTGTGGTTCTGGTTCAAGTTCCTGCTTGAGTTCCTGTCCTGACTTGCAATATTGATGTATTCGTAGGTCACAAACCCTCCTTCTCCACTAACGAGCTTTTGTTTATAATACCTACCTCAGCAGCAGAAAGGAAGCCAGACCTGACTATCACTCTAGTACTGAGGAGGAGGATCTCAGGGACTCTCTGGCCTGCCAGTCTAGCCAACCTGAGTAAGAGAAGGTCTCGCAAAAAATAAGAGGAAAACATCTTACTGTTGACCTATGCCTCCAAATTACATTTGAATCATGGATTTAAATACCTCTAAAATATCACACACACACCCTCAAACATGCACACACAGACAATTATGGGGCTTTAGGTACTGATTAATTTGCAAACAAACTTTTTTAAATCAAAATGTTGCATAAATTATGTACATAATAGATACATAAATACACATGTTAATATTATGCAACTATTATAAGGTATTATAAGGTATAATTGATTCGTAAAATATCTCATGATAAGGGAACTTATCATGGTACAATAAAAAGGGCTTTTTAATAATTACAGCCATACCAGCAACTACAGCAATGACCTGTGGCTTTTCACATACGTGTACCGCTTAATGTTCTCCTTGCAAACTGTACAGCCACCCCTTGTGTGAGTTTCCCAGCAATGCTGAGGTCCAGTCAACCTCTCAGACTGAAGTTTAACTTTTGCCCACCTTGCACCTTCGGCAAGACTGGAATCTCTGTGGCTTAAAAACCTCATAGATCCTAGTCAGATCAACGTGTTCTATGGAAAATAATGTACTATTGGGTTTTTACAGTGTATAATGCTCAGAGTTTTATTTTCCTGGTGTAATTGTGATGTAGTAAAGTTGGGAAATACTGAGAAAAAGAAAAACAGACAATTAAGCCCAAAGCCATATTTCTCTGAGAATAGGGTTAAGAAAATAGATGAGAAGCACATTTTAAATTCTCTGTGTTTAACTTGATAAAGTTTATAAGGGGTGTGACAGCCTCAGCCACACATTATCAGGTTATGGGGAGGAAACTGAGTCTGAAGGAATAACAGTGATCAGGGCAAACACATGCAGTTAGCTTCGGAGTATGAACGAATCTGAGATGCCCATGTAGATACAGGCACAGAGAGGCAGATGGGGCACCTACACTCACACAGGCAAAGGTTAAACTCAGCCAGCCATGCGCACACACTGTCAGTGTAAAAGAAACCAGCGGTGGCCATTCTTTTTGCATAAAGGCTTATAAGGAATGCAAAATGAGAACTCTGAAGTACTTACAACTGAGCGGAGGTTATTTTCTTTCACCAGCTTCAAGGATGACTGATAGCAATTTGCAAGGTCTTCCTTGTGGGAACCATTAATGTGGCCTCTGGCGATTGGCCCTACAGTATGGATGACATCTGCAAACGCAAAGGAAAGGAGAACAGGGTAAGCGAAGCATTGTTTGCTTTTCACACAACTGGTGCTTTATTTATTTCAGATATTAGTTTGGGGGCCTGGAGACTGGCAAGCTGAGAAATATAGATGACATAAGCACTCCACTGTAAAAGATTCCTACAGCAGGCCCCTTCCCAGAAAGGTGACACCAGAGAAAAGAATTTGACCACCATTGAACTCTTCAGGGTACTGGTCAGGTCCAAGTGTGACAGATTACTGTATAAGAAGTGCACAATTGGAGCCCTGGCAGAAGACAAATCCTTGGTGGGACAGAAATCAAAAAATAATTGCTTGCAAAATGAGCATCTGAATTGACAGGGGAAGGAAGAGTCAATGCAAGACATAACTTTCCTTGTAAATAAGACACCATATGATATAAAGAGGTTTTTGAGACGTCACCAAGAGAATTTTATTGCAAACACAATACTAAAACAAAAACATTCAAACTACTGCTAACAATTTTAAATTGTTCAATCTTCACAGACATGAACAGTGCTAGGAATAACAGTGTATACACGCATTAACTGATGATTCATACTTTATTTTTAATACATTAAAATTCTCTCAGAGTAAGAGTAATCTGTGCTTTTCAACCTCCATGTGGATTTAAAAACACAAAATCTGACTTTTTACTTTTGCATATAAACCTCAAACACTCTGCTATATGTTCCCCATTCTCACACACACACACACACACACACACACACACACACACACACACACACAGTCTTTTGGGGAGTGCTAAGACTGAACCCAGAGTCGTGCTGTGCTTGCTAGGCTTACTGCTCCCACCTGACCTATAGCTCCAGTCCCCCCATTTGTAAGTGTTTAAATTTAGGAGCTTTATCGAATAAGATTATTCTCATTTCAAAGTCAAAAAAAGATTAGAAAAAAATGAAATTTTGATCTAAATAATATGAAATACTCTGCAACTTGCTTCCTGGTTTTATATGGTAATCGAATAATTATGACATTTCACTGATCTAAGTTACAAGAACTAATCAAGTTTGATCAAAGAGATAAATTTAGGTCTATATTAGCAGACTATTATAATGAAATGAAATTATTTACTTTGGCTAATCAGTACCACTTAGTTTTAACAAGGACAAGAATAAGAGTGCTTTGTAAAAACAGGAATATGGCACAGTTAAAATTGTGCATAAATTTCGAATTGAGACCCATAAACCACTATGATGGGGAAAAGCTTTGCTGGTACCCTGCTAAATATTGAGACTATTATATGATATTTGAGAAAGGCCCTCGACACATGGATTTCAACGATTAATTCTAAAACAATATTTAAACTCTTGCCAGACGATATTAAAGATGATGTAGTACGATCAAAGGAGGCAGAAAATCTACAGCCCTGAGCTCAGGCAGATGTTATTTCGCAGGTGGGTCTGGTTCCCATTGTAGTGGTAACTGCCCAGCGTGGAATCAGAGAATAAAGTGAAATGAGGTTGCACACAAAGCATATAATGATATCATTATTTTGCAATGAAATAACACACACTATATATATTCAGAAAATAGGTGTTTTGTATCCTACATAATAAACTTTCATATGAAAATGTTTTGTTAGCTACTATTTTTAATGGCTACTAGGCTACAGGGGAACAGGGCCCTGCTTTATTTTATCCTTATGCTTACTTGCATGTGCCCAGCTATGACATTCATAAACTCTGGGGCAGGTTGTGGGGGGCACTTTGGCGCTCTCATTCTCACTGAAATGTTGAGGCCTGGTTTCTCCATCATTTCTTCCCTAAAGGAGCATGAGGACATGGTTATGCTCTCCCTGTTTTGTAAATAGAGAAGAAGAAGAAGTGTTTCGTTTGTGAGGCTGTGAAAGTTGTGTCTATTTGGCCCAAGGAAATAAAGGTCTAAAAGCACTAGCAGAAAGAACCACGTTGGGGCAGAGCCTGTAACAAAGGGTGGTGGGGACAAAATAAAATCCCTTCCTGTGCTTTTCATCAGCCCCTAGTGTCCACATAACTTACATGGAGTTTCTGAAGAGTGGGTCCATGCTACTCTGCAGCCCTCCATTTCACTTAAAAGTCTGAGAACAAACAGCCTATAAACGTGCTTCCCCGATATCAAAATATCGATCTCTGTATTTTATGCTCTATATTAAATTTTCAGCATCCAAGATCAAGTGTTATTATTCACCAACACAATGACCTCTCAGATTCACAAAGCTGGGAGTGAATCAATATGAGGTTTCAAGAGAAATTTCTTTCATTCTCTTAATTGTTTATTTTACTTATCAGTAACTACTTACACTGAGTTCCTTTCTTTTTTTTTTTTCTTTTTCTTTTTTTAACTGTTATAAATTGCAGTCAGGTAGACTGCTTCTAATTTCAGTTTCACCTCTGACTGATCAAGTGGCCAGAGTAAGCCATCGTTTAATTGGTCCCTGACTTGGTTTTCTTATTTGTAACTAAAACAGATCAGCTGTCTCTTTGATGTCATTTCTTCAGTATTTACAGCATCATTAGTATTTGACATTATAATGGAGTACCCGTAGAACAGAACGACATGCTATATGAACAACAAAAACAAAAACAAAACAAACAACAAAAACAAGCAAAAAATCAACAACACTTGAACATAAATAGGAAGCTCAAGAAATTTTGTTTGTTTTTGTTTTGTTTTTTTTAATCACAAGGATTCTTTCAAATATCCCCAGTACCAAAGGCTAGCCTTTAACAATACCAGCTTTAACATTCTTTAATTGAATATATTCAAAATAAAAATTTGAAACAAATAGGTCCTATAACATCAATGAGCCTTGGTATTACTTTATATTTTCAAAACTGAATAGCATCTTCACAAAGGTGCAGATACACGTGTAAGCAAAAATCCATGGGCACTGCTTTAACTTCAGCCTGGATTCTGAATCCCTTGGGGCAGACAATACAGTTAGAATTTCTGAATCCAATCTCATAACTGAAAAGACTCACAAAATGATGCGTATCGTCTTTTCCAGAAGCAACTGCAGCATCTAAGGGACCCCTAGCCCACAGGCAGGGATGGAGAAAGAGCATTTGACTTTACATCCTGACATCTGAGAGCCGCAAAGAAGACCCAAGACTATCACCGTGTACTGTGTGAATCTGGGCAAGTCAAAGCGGGTATGTTGATCACATCTTCTTGTTGCTGTGACAAACACCAGAAAGACATGGCTTAAAAGAGTAAACATTTAACTTGGCTGGTGGATTCAAAAGGTTTTGTCAATGGAGTGCTTGTTCTGCTGTCCTGTGCCAAAACAGAAGAAAAAAAAAATCATCTAGTATGTGCGTTGGAGTATGTGGTGGAGGAGAATGCTTACCTATGGCAACCAGAAAGCAGAGGAAGGAAAAAGGGCAGGAGACAATATATATATATATGGATATATATATATATATATATATATATATATATATATATATATATATATCCTTGAATTATATAAAATTCAAGGATACATGTGCTTTCTCTAGTGAGCACCCCCACTTATTTTTTTACTGTGTTCTAGTATTGCTATTGTGTTACAAATCCATCTAATCAGTCCCTCAAACCCATAACATGAGCCCCAAAAGTTTGCCACACAAAATGGGGGAAGGGAGGCATTTCATATTCAAAGCACAATGATAGAGTTAAGTAATAATCTTTATAAATGTCAGGAATATGTCCTTTTTTATGGACTTATCAGGAATGGAAGTATATTTCTTGAGTAGTCTAATACATTATTATTCAGATAAATGACCATCAAATATGATTCAGGTTTAACAAGTATGTGTATATAGTGAAGTGTAATGAGCACTGTCCCCAGAAAGAGTAATTTAACTTTGGGCAGAGTGCTGGAATCCTAATGGAAGAGGGGAAGATGAAAGATCTAGATTGGACAGGAGCTCCACAAGGAGAGAAACAGAAGCAAAAATTCTGGGCCCAGGGGTCTTTTCTGAGACTGATACTCCAACCAAGGACCACACATGGAAATAACCTAGAATCCCTGCACAGATGTAGCCCATGGTAGCGCAGTCTCCAAGTAAGTTCCCTAGTAAAGAGAACAGGGGCTGTCTCTGATATGAACTCAGTGGCTGGCTCTTTGATCACCTCTCCCCGAGGGGGGAACAGCCTTACCAGGCCACAGAGGAAGATGATGCAGCCAGTTCTCGTGAGACCTGATAGGCTAGGGTCAGATGGAAGGGGAGGAGGACCTCCCCTATCAGTGGACTTGGAGAGGGGCATGGGAGGAGAAGGAGGAGGGAGGGAGGGTGGAATTGGGAGGGGCTGATGGAGGGGGCTGCCACTGGGATACAAAGTGAATAAATCATAATAAATAACAAATAAATACTTTCATTTCACTGTTAAACTCACTTTCAAGCATGCTTATGTAAAACACTAAACCTACGTTTGAATACAAATGTTCTTTCTATTCCTTTAATATGAGCATTTTCTTCTATATTATTAGCATCTGCCATTAAAGTTTCATTATAGTTATAATAGGAAAACTGAATTCTCCTTAGTCATATAGCGATATATTTCAGAATTGTCTCAATAGCCAAAGAATGTGAGATAACGTCCAAGAACTTTTAGAGATAACAAGGGTAATACAGAAAACTGTCTGCTCTTCCATGTTTAAGGACCCAAGTTCTATGTCCAAAGTCACAGATGAGTGTGGCGAGATTGACCATCATCAGATAAGATGTTTCCAAGGTCACTACACATTGATGGGAATGGTGTGTGTTTGCATGTGTGCCGTGTGCGCAGCATGCGTCTCGCTCCATGACTCTGCGGTTGGCACACAGTCAATGCCTGGCTGGCTACAGTTCTGTAAGAGGTTACTGCAAAACATGGCGGCTTACTATAACAGCCACGTCTTTGTGTCTGTTATCACAGATGTTCTCTGTGGGTCAGAAATTCTGAAAGGAGACAGGGGGCATGGCTTCAAGCACAGAATGTAGCTCAGGTCAGCAGTGAC